CTTATTTCTAATTTCGCTCACATTATACGATAAAATTTGTTGTTGTTTTATTTGATACTATTGTTGTTGTAGTATTTGATTAATAAATTATGTGAGACAACAAATATGTACGACAGAGTACAGTATATATCAACACAAGAATAATTTTTTTCACAGACGACCAACTTTTTCAAGATATGTGTTTACGGCTAACTTCATAACCCACACACACACTAGTGATGTGTGTCTAAAATATAAACTAATAGCTATTGAATACTTATATAGATATATGAAGCCTAAAACAATGTGACCTAAAGTTATGTCTATAAGTTTTAACAACATTTGAAATATTAAATGTGTTTACTATAATATACATTATATAAAGTATATACTATAATATTAAATATTATACTAAACTAATTCTAGCAGCATATATATATATATTTATATAACAATATTGATTATATCAATTTATATTTATACAGTGAAATACACGTTATGTTTGATGTTTATTAGACACATATTGTTTTGATGGCTTTTGGATGGTTATATGACAAACTCATATTAATGTAAAAGTGTGTATAAAAAATAAATTGATACTGAATATTCTGTATGTATGAAGTATATGTAATAGTCTATAGACAACCTATTGTCTAACTGTCAAGTTTTATGAATGTTATGTGTCTATTAAAACACAAGTTATTTGTAAAACACTGTATATTTTTATATATAAATAGATTACATGATTGCACAATAAGAAAAATCTTTATTTGATTATAATAGACATTTTTTATATTCATTTAAATTAATTAACAAACAAACATCTATTGTAATTTATACAGTATATAGTTGTTTATAAAAACTATCAATAGATTTACTGATACAGAAAAATAGTATAATAGTAAATAATACAATAAAAATAATCTTTTATTAACATTGAACTTAGTAATAAACTTTTGTTATTTGCTGTAAAATTTAATGTAAATTATTATAATTAATAAATTTAATAAATAAATTAAAATAAAAATAATCATAAAAAATCTAATTGCTATATAAAGTTTACTTAGTTTAATAAACATATATATTTAAGAATAAAACTAAAAATATATTATGTAATTTAAGAAATGTTAAATAAATATACGAAATAAAACAAAATAATAGATTGTAAAATACTTGTAAATTATCAAAACGGATTTATTTCAAAACATAATAAAATTGTTTTTAAAAATATTTTACAAAATTTTCATAACTTTATATCTATGTGTGTTTATTAGCTTACAAACAAAAAAAAATATTATGCATCATTATATAATTTACAATGACATTAACTTGCATTTTGCACATGAAAAAAATGCCATGAATAAAGCAGCTAGGATATAAAACAAAAAAATCACTTTAAAAAATCATACGTATAAAATATATATGACACGTTTCTATTGAAATTTTCAAATGACCATTCAAATTATGATACAAACACACACACACACACACACACACACACACACACACACACACACACACACACACACACACACACACACACACACACACATGTATACATGTAAAAAAATACAATACATACTTATATACAGTGTATAATACTGTACATACCCTACATATCCTATATATTCTATAGTACATAAAAATCAGAGTTGCAATCTGGGGGTAAGCAAGGGGTAAGATCGACTTACCACACAGAGCAAGATTTTGGAGGTTTTAACCCCTAGACTTAATCAGAAATTAAAAATATTATGACTTAAAAACAATGAAAACCTGACCCTTAACCCTAAAATTTCTCTCTAATATTTATTAATTAACTAGTATTATGTTTTTACAGCTTTGTAATATTATTATCAGTTGAGATCCCCCTTAGACCAAAAAAACATTGCGCAACCCTGCTAAAAATAATATCAAAACATTTATGATATTTTTATTGTTGACTACAAATGTTATTGCATCTCATCAATCATTGTATTACATGTTAAAAGTTTTCTCACAAAAAAACACATCTAATATCAACTCTAATCACAACAACTTTTTGACACATTTGTGAATAAAAAAATTGTCGCCACTTTTTTTTGTTAACCTAAAAAAATTTATTTATAATATAAATATAATTACTGATTTGTATGTAAATTTTTGTTGTATTGATTAATATTGAAAATATAGTACAGTATTATAATTTCTCAGCAATATTTCAAGTGATTCACATAAACAAAAATGTAACTTAAGATACATTTTGATGTATTTTGCAATATTAGTAAAATTATTGCTGATATTGTATCTATGATTATGAGATAAAACATAACTAAAGGTTTTATACTAATATTATTATTGTCAATCTAATTTAATTATAAGCCACTAATTAAACATATAATATTCACAAATATTATATATATGAAAAACACAATGACAGCTATTTTGATTGTGTAATATATTTAAAAAAACATATTTAATATTTTATGCAAATATCATTCACTGTTTTTGCAATAGAGAATAAAATGTCTAATTAGTAACTTATGATCGATAAGATTATCACTAATAATATCAGCAAAAAAAAACTTTCATTTTCACATATATTTTTAAATTAACTTATAAATAAATAATAACTACTATTATACTGTAAACATCATACATTGTGTACAGTGATTATACTGTAAGATCAATGATATGCAAATTGAATTAAACTTTTAAATATTTTAATTAAATTTAAGCTAAAAATTAAGTTTAAATGTATACCAGATTTTACACAATGAAATGCTAATAAATAAATTATTATAATTTAATAAGAAGTTTATCAATAATTTAATAAAAATATACTCATAAGCTTTAATCAGTAAATTCTATATATAATACATATTAATATTATGTATTATTTATATTAATCCAATAATCCATTTTAATTTTAAATGTTTTAATTAAATGTTTTCCTAATAATTACATAAAACTATAATATTTAAAGCTAACTCAATAATATAAATTAGATTTATAGTTTAAATAATTTAGAAATTTGTTAAATTTTATAAAATTAAAATATTTTATTTATTTTAAATAATAATATGATGACTTATTTTGCATTAACAGAAACAAATGTAGAAATAATTTTAAAATAAAATTTGTTATATTTAGTATACTTTACAAAATACGACATTATTATACTGTAGTTATGTTTTGGAAACCAAAAAAAAATAGTAAATCTTATCAAAATATACTGCAAATACTTACAGGTGCTAAGTCTCACTCAGGTATTAAAAAACTGACACTTTATACATCCAATTATTTTTTGTCACATAAAATAATAATAAAATATACTTGAAAGACACGTTTAGTGGACAATCACTTAGTTTTAAACATAGATACTATGAAATACTGTTTAGATATGCAACGAAAAATTTATAGACAACTAAACTAGATATTTGCTAATATTATATAAAAATATGGTTTTTATTTATCTGAAGAAAACAAAAAATTATTATAAATATTTATATAATTTACTGTTACAATAAATCTTATATTAACTATTACATTCAATAAAGTAATATATAATTATTAATAATATATATTTAATATTTAAAATTATTTCAATGTAATTTAATTCATTATTTACAAAAATACAAAAAAAATTAATAGAACTAAATATATTTAGTAAACAAATAGTGGTTCATTTTATTTGTCTACCACTTTACCAATATATACATTTAAGGGACAATAATTTTATTGATAATATAAATTTTATTTTTTGAAAAAAATATTTATATATATATATTGATTTTCAATGTAAACAAAAATGCATTATATCTATAAGTTGCAAAAAAATTATTATTATAAATAAATAATAACTAAGCCTATAGTGTTTTATATTTAAAACACACACTCACTCACTCACACACACACACACACTAATACTGTTGTACATATATATATAGTACATATAGACGTACAGTACATACAAATCTCAAAGTTAAAATAAAAAATAATAATTTTAAATATTAAATAAAATACTGTACAAAATAAAAATTAGATCTTATTTTATTTTTTATGTTATGTATATATTATTTATTATATTACTTTCTCTACTATTATACACAAATAATTGATTGTTTTTAATCTGTATTCTAAAAATTATAAATTAACTTTTGCTTTATTGTTATAATTTATAACTTATAAAATACAAATAAATATATTGTATATAAACTTTGTATATCAATGAAAATAAACTGTTTTCAAGAATCTTTATATTAAACTATGGCTGTGACTCTATAATATAGAATATATATGCAATATATAGAATAATAATAGACTAATAATAAATTTACATTAGATTTTATACATATTATATCTTGAATATTATATATATTTTCTATATAGTGGAGTATCCGCGCAGATACTTGACTATGAATTCATTCCCATTGAGATGTTATTGAATACATTGGTAGTGTATGTAGTAGTTGTAGGCAACTACTGGTGCTCTCTTATATAATGCACCGATGGATGCAATGGACTTAGAAAACAGTAAATCCTTGTCTGTATCTCTCTCTTTCAAATCATAACATACCAGTGCTGTGTAAGAGAGTGAGTGTATGAGTGAGTCTCAAATGTCACACTATATAAAACAAAACAAAAATATTGTATAAACTTTAAATACATACTTATTATAATAATAACAAAAATAATAAAAACTTCATTTATAATATAATTGTTATTACACTATATATAATATATATTAAAAAAATATTTTAAAACTTTTATAAAGAATTGATGTTATATGATATATACTATATATATAAATACAGTATTTTTTGTCAATCATAATCAATGTCATGAACTGTAAGTTAAATACAATGACAATGTTTTATATTTATTTTTTGTTTATTTTAAAAATCAATCGCACAATAATAACTTTGCGGTTATAATAAAAAATTTGATGCGAAAAAAACGGTGATATTTATAATATAAGAATTACAAAATTACAGAATATTCTTGAATTAGTTTGTTTTACAAAAAAATTAATAAAACAAATTATGGATTTCATCGGCAGCGGTGGTAATTCAAGCAATATTACTGAATCAGACAGTAATAAGACAATGTTAGTCGGCTCACGTAACATAACCTACCGAAATCGTAATCATACGGTTCAAGTGGCGACATTAGGCGATATGGAAGCTATTCCCGAACCATATCAATCATGTTTGACGGGTCTATATATCGGCACAGCAGTGGTGGCTATAGTGGCCAACGTGTTGGCGTTGACCATATTGATTACGAAAAAGCGGTCATCGGCCGATTTGCGTAAATATTTGATAAATTTGGCCATTTCCGATATGTCAATGGCCGCATTTTCATTGCCATTTGCCTATTCCGATATGATGTACGGCTACTGGCAGTTCCCACTCTTTTGGTGTCCGATATCCCATTTCATAAGCACCTGTTCAGTGTGTGTCTCCATATTTACATTGACCGGCATTGGTATCGAAAGGTATGGATACTTAATATATAATATATAATATTTTTTTTTATTATTAAAAACGTTATACTGTAGTCTATATATTTATAACTGATATCATAAATTCCTAACAAAATGTTTGTATCAAATAATTTATTATTTATATTTATTGATTATGTATTTTTAGAATATATTTAATCTTCAAAATAAAATTGCTATAAAAATTTATGTTTTAAAAAAGTTTTTATATTTTCTATATTTTTTTATTATTAAATTATGTTTTTATTTAATTTATAAAGTTATTACTTAAACTTTTATTACTAGTCTATAAACATTTTACAGTAAAATTTTAATGATTAACATTATTAATTTTGGTATAATTTTGTAATTGATAAATACAAATTATAATCAATTTAATCTGGCCAAACAAACAATTAACTTTTATGTTTATAATTTGCATTAAATTTTAATATAATTAAATTGTATAATTAATACTAGTTTACTAACTAAAACATAAACAGGCAAATTAATTTAAAAGTTTTGAACTTGTTATTTAAATGATAAATATATTAATAATTTTGAAATGTTTTATCAATAATTTTTTATATACAATATTTTTCGGTAGGGTTGTAATAAAAACAGAATTTATTAGCATAAATATTTTTTTTAAGAATTAGGATTTTACATTTTTTATCAGTGTTAAAAACTACTATATATTAAATTTATATTTACTATTTAGGACTAATAAATTACATCAAAAATTATAGTGTATTGTAACATTTAAAACATTATTTAAAAAATAATTAAAAATAAAATTAATTAATTTCATGTTATTCATAAGTTTGAAATTTTATTAACCGATAAATCTCAAACTTGAAAATTTTGAAATAAATAAAATAAAAAATATTTTATATACTCAATAAAATTATGTGTTTGGGAACTCTATGATAATTTTTATGTTTTCTCAAATTGTTTATTTAGTAATACTAAATCTTTGATTGTATTAAATGTAAAGGAAATCAATGCTTTTTATTACAGTATTATTTTTTTTATCAACAATACGATTACCATATCTTTTGTTTAACATTTAATGAAATATTATTTGAACTTACTTTTCATTTTAATAGTTTTGGTAAATTTCCATTTTAATTTATTTATTAATTAAAATATTTTTATTTTAATATGTAAAATTTATTGATAAAATTTAAAATTCAAGTATAAATATTAATACTACAGTATATCTTTACAACTAATTTTTAAAAATATACTTAAAACTATAGTTATATTAAAATTATATTATATATCACTTGTTTGTTGCAATTTTTTATTTAATATTTAACTATAAAATTGTGATTTTATTTTTAAACCCGTTATCATTAAAATCATTTATTATATTTAAATAATGTATTATCAATGGGGATACAAATCCTATTATCTACAAAAAAAAATTATTCTGTAAAATATGATTTTTTTCTGAATTGATTTTAAATTAGTTAATTTAAATACAAGTTTGAATCACACAGAATACTTAAATCTTATAAATAATAAGCAATAAAACTTTATTTAACATAAGATTTAAATTTTTTGAATGCATTTTTTTTATTTTTTAGACAAAAAAATAGCATTTTATATATTTAATACAATATAAGTGATAGACACATACTCACACACATAAATAAATAATTGAATTTCAAATATACATATATTCAAGTGTATATTCGCGGAATACTACTGTACTGTATATATAATTCAAATTCAATTGATTTTACATTGGATTTATAGTGTCAGAAATGTAAACATAAATGTTTTATTTTAAATATTGAATGAAATATACATTTTATAAAATGTTTTTAGAGTTTAAAAAAATAAAAAAGACTATCTCTAACTGTATAATTAACTAAAATTGTTTTTTATTTTATTTTCTATCTAAAAACAATTTATTACATTTAAAGATTATAAATATTATAATTTTTTAAATCTTATAAACATACAACAGAAATAAAAATAATTTTAATTATAACTAATTTATATAAATTAACAATTTGAAATATCAAAATTTAATAACAATAATAATATTTGTATGAATATAATTTATATATAGCAATAAATAATTAAAAACTAATCATTATTTAACAAGAATTAATAATTAAAATAAATAAATATCTATCATTATGCTATATATAAATTATATTCATACAAATATTATTATTGTTATTAAATTTTGTTAATTAATTAATTTTAGCATTGACTTATATATATATATATTTATAATTTTTTGAACATTTAGATTTGTAATGAATTATCAAATTTTTGTGTACAAACTTCTAATGATTTAAAACATTTAAAAAGTAAATTAGATTAAATCAACATATAATATATTATTTATTGTAATTTTAGTGATTAACAATGACATTTGCATACAATTTTAATTTACACCTACATATTTAAATTTTATTAAATTGTACTAATATTGATAATAGAAATTAAAAATTTTCTTATTGTTAATTTTTTTATCAAAAAAAATTTACTTTTATTTACTGTATATTTGATCTTTATATGAGAATAAATTATATTTTAAACAATCAAATTGAAATTTGTTTATTTAAATAAAAATAATAATTTTAATATCTTAGATGTGATTTATAAATATTATTTATTATAAAAATAAGTATTTTCTTAGATTATATATATTCATAAATAAGACAAAACTAATTTATATATTGTTTATGTTCTCATAAAACATAAATATTTATTATTGATATATAAAACATATATTTATAAAGAGTCTCGAATGACATAATTAACATTAAGAATCCATAATTCATTCATACAATGAATTATATTATACTATAATACTGTGCATAACATATGATTAGCTATTAGATTATACAGTAATATGATATAATATGGGATATTAACATCAATTGAGACTATTTATGATATACAAAAAAATACAAAACAGATATCAACAATATTGTTTTAGATATAATTTATTGAAAATATCATACATACAATTTTATGTTGTAATTATACTAGATAATATTTTAGTACACTTGTTACAAATAATTATATAGATTATATTTGTGGTGTACTATATTATATAAATAAATATGATTATTTAATTTATTAACATATAATTATTACTATTAATATGATTAATATTGGCATTTAATAATATTATTTATAGTATTATTATTATATTATTGAATATTTTAGTGATTTCATAAATATTAAATTTTAACTGATGACTCTTATAATAATAAAATTTATTATATATGTATAAATAAAAGATTATTTTGTTGTTGAAACGCTAAATTATTATAATCAATATTAACTGATAATAATAGTTATTACAGATAAATACAGTAAATATAGTTTTGAAGCAAACTTTTCATTTAAAATATATAAAATATTTAATAATTTTAAATAGTAAACACAAATACCACACATTTTTGTTATTAAAATTGTTATTCAAGTTTAGTTATTTATTATATTATTGTTGATGTTTGTTACTATCTTTATTGTATAAAAATATTTAAATAGAAATTACAGAATTATAAAAAATAATAAAACTCTAAATTCTATAAACAATAAATAAAATAAATTTAATTAAACAAACAATTAATGTTATTGTAATTTAATTAATAATAAAATTTAAAAAAAATATTTTTATTAACAGTATCCATATAAATCAACAAATAAAATCTATATATTATATACTAATATTAAAAATAATTAATAATAAAATTTTAATAGATATGTTACAATGTTATCAATATACTATTTTATGATTTAAAAATTACTAGTAGCAATTAGTTAATCAATTGTACTTGCTTATTTAAGAGAATTTTACTTTTATTAAGGTTCACTCAATAATTTATTTTTTTGTGTTTAGTTAATATTTTAAACTAAATAAAAATTTCTATAAAAATTATTATTGTTTTAAAAGTTTAAATTTGTTATTAAAACTATTAAAAAATTGTGTCACATTAAATATATTATTATTATCAAATTAAAACAAAAAAAATACTTAAATATATTCTAATATTTTTATATATATTAAATGAATTTGTCGTTATTGACAAAATATTTATAATTAACGTTAAATAATGTAATATAAATGAAAATATGCTTATTTTGTGTGGATATTTTATCAAATAATTTTTATGAATTGAAATCAATTTTCAATTAACATATGTATACATAGTTATGAAATATTAGATATTTTACATATTATCTAGAAATAGATTTTTCAGAATATGTAAAATTTTGTAACTTGATATATAAATATAAATAAATAAATTATTTTTTTCAACATAAATGTTAATTTTATGATTTGAAAATTTTATTCAAAAACTTTTTTTTTAATATAGATATTAAAGTTATAGATTTATATAAACGTGAAATTTTATATATTTCAAAAGTTTTCAATTTTGAAATTTTAAAATAAAATCCAGTCTTAAATGTAAATTGTTATACAATTTTCGTTGTATAACAAAATTGTATAAACAATTGAATAAATCTATCAAAATGTATTTTTCATAATTTAATTACATTTATTTTCTATAGCAGTATAAGTATAATGTAATAATGATATAAAAAACATAAAATAAGACATTAAAATTATTACAAATACATTTACAAAATAATACAATATATAACTCAATAAAATTTATTGTTTATATATCACCCAATATTTTTCTTGTAAACTGGGATTTACATATAATATTTTATATTAGTTTTATACACTAAAATAATTTCCTATATCAATAACACATTCATAAATTTAGTTGTTATTATCTATTGAATGATAAATGTACATTTCTATTATAATAAATACAAAAGTTTTGTACTCAATTTTTATTACTCAATATTTTTTATATAAAGTAAAACAACAGCATTAGATTAACTGAAAATGTTTTCAATAATATAACTAAAATCAAATATTAATGAAATGAAACTTTTTTTTCTGGTAAACAACCTTTTTCTATAAACAAATTTAATAAAATAAAAATAAAATACTAGCTATCAAT